AGCACCATGTTGTTCTGGGGGTCTGCTCAGTTTTTAAATAAAAAAAATAAAATGAACTGCTTTGACTGCTGCTTTTTTCAATGCTTCAAGCAACCAGGGTCTATACTAATTTATTGCATCCTACTTAGGGTACATTCAGTTCCTGTCCACCTTTTGGTTTCTATTCATCTATTCTTTGATATTTGCATGTGGTGTCACTTTCATGACTGCCTAGACACAGAAAACTGAGCACATGGAATCTGTGAATCAACAGAACTTTGACTAAAGCTTACAGGTTGTAGATTATTTGTAGGTGCCACTTTCCAAAAATGGTGTTAGCTACAACACCCAAATACCTTATAACAATCGTTTAACAAACAAACATACATTCGGTGCAACCATTATGTCTGTTCACACACAAAAACTGGAAATTGCCATTCATTCTCACAGTATTACTGAGATCCAGGGTGTGTGTGTGCGTGATGGCATTTTTATGAGCTTCTGATCAGGCGCTTGCCAAATAAGAATGCTGAATGTACAGGCGGCAAACTGAGTTCACAGATGCTGTGGAGTGGAACATCTGCTTCCACAGAAACCTTCCCTAACCATTACTTCTCTATCTTTGGAGTAGAATCCAAAATACTCTCCATCCACTACTTCAGTTTGTTTTCACAGTGGCCCACTCAGTGTGGCTCTAGTCATTAGCTTCCTAAATATTAACAAAAAGTCTCAGGAAACTAAAGAGTTTACAGATGTCTGGAAATCATCTGCCCAGTCATTTGACCAACTTTCTGACTTATTTATGATGTGAATACAGTCTACAGACAAAACTAAATGGATTGCCAGCCATTTTTTTGTACAGAAAAAACAGCATGTCTGTGAAAAGCATTGTATGCTGTTCAACTTTCCCAGACAGAACGGTAAAAAAAAACTAACCTCCATGTGAACTCGGCCGTCTGGGTGAATTATGTGAATCTAATCGGTGACCCCCACGAGTCTAATTCAAACTCATTGCGAGAATGCATGGAGGACGGGCCACTCCATTGTTAATCTCAGCTCACTGACTGTTGTTTTAATGGCAGATGAGAGATTGATGGCGATATAATGACTGCGGGGAAGACACAGCACAACAATAGTGTTGCTACAGCACAGGCCAATTACATTAGTCAGTCAGACAGCTATGCGCATGAGTGCACCCATACACATTTACACATGCGTAAAATGTACGTAAAAAACATTCGAACAATCCCAAGACAAACACAAACACATTCGCATGTACCGAAGTGACACTGAGAAAAAGCATTTATTGATTTGTAGATGAAGAAGTTTTGCAGCCAACGAGCATTAATGCTTCTTGTGTCATCAGGGGGGAAACAAACAGAGTTAATTTGCATCCCACTAGCCCCCTGATGTGACAAAGGAGGCTAATTTATGCATCGGTGACATAGTGTGCTTGGAATAAGAGCTTGGCAGAAGGGCTGGATGCCCACTCTTGGATTGCGGTAATTGTGATTTGGTTGCTAGGATGTTGAGGGTAATGAATGTCTTGTTGATGCGGTTTGTCATAACCCGTGCCATCCCTGGCTGCTTGAAGACATAGAGCCTATTTGTCGAAAGCAGACACATGATGTACAAGCCCACCAGGCAGAAAGCATTTGTCATTTCATGAGAGAAAATGAAGGAAACTGCCAAGCCACCGTTGATATTGAACAAGATTGTGGAATAAATTAGATTGTATCAAGCGGTCTTATTTGAAATAACCATGACATTTTTGAGGGCATTAAGATTGTTTCAAATGTAGATTACAAATGGTGAAAAAGAAAATTTCCTTTAAAATATCAACGACAATGACTGTTAGTGGTTTATAGAATCCACACATTGCCCAACATTTATCATGAATAAATTAAACTAGACACTATTCATAGAAGTGCAAAACTGCATGTGTTATTAAAAATCATATGGACCAAAATAGATTTTTACCTATTTGTTTGATACAAATCGTATTGAAGAGGTGCTGATTGACAAAGTTTAATGACTTAGTTTAAGAAACCTGGAATTTCGTTCATGTCAAGAAAGGAATTGTTCAGAAATGAATTATTTACTAAACATGGAATTTTAAATAAAAAGGGATGAGTAAAGTCAGCAAAGTCAATGTCATTGAAGGATACTTCAACAATTCACAAGCTTCATGAAAAGATACCTGATTTTAAAAGGAATGTTTGCGATCACTGAAAAAGGATTTTCGGGATTGATTCGGCTGTTTCTGAGACCCTTAAAGCATGCTGCTTTTTAGCTGGGTGCAATTTTATTTTCCCCCTTCCTCTGACTGCAGCATCTGACAGCCAAAACAAGCCAGCCCAGTTGAGGGTAACTTTAGGAAACACACTCACATCAACTGCACACACACTGTGTGATGTGGAGGGGGGGGGTTGACCCGAGCTCGCTTCTTATCGTGTGTCCCGACAGCAGCTGTTAAATCCATGTTTCATGTTGTCATGCTGACTTCCTCATGCAGAACTAATTGGTTGTTTATGCCTGTAGTGCCACAGCCAATGTCTGTGGAGAAAAAAAAAAAAAGAACTCAAGGACACTCATAACAACTTTTCTACACACTCACATGTCTGACAATAATTGAATCACAGGTGAGGATGAGCGCAGATGGAAATAGCTGAACTAAATTTCAACCAGTGAGAGTTCCTATTAAGACCCGAAATCTCCTTGAACCCATCGCCACGGCTAATCACACACGGAAAAACACACACACGCACGTACCGAGCCTCCGACAAAAAATCCTCCCACCTTCTGCACCCTCTCCTCGTCTGATTTGCATTTCGGTTAACTTTCTAATTGCCTCCCATTAAATACCTTGTCACTTTGATTAATTGGTGTGATACAAAAATGTAAAACAGCAGAGTATCACGATGCACAGGAAGTCATTGCCGATTGGATGGTCTAGCCTTGTTAAAAAGAGAGTATGTGTACATGTACAATACATATTGTATATAATACATATATATATATATATATGATGTGTATGTATATCTTAGACAGCCAGATCAAACAGTCGTTTCCTAATTATGGGCTCCTACAAACATCATAAGAGCTTCTCCTGCTTGACTGAAGTTGCTGAAAGAAAATGCACACATTAAATATTAAGGCTCCGCTCTCAGTCTGGAGAAATTGATTTGATTCATGCTCGGGAGCCCACTTAAAAATGAAATATAGATGTAAATAAACACATACTACTTAAAGATGTTGTTGTTTTCCCTTTTTTGTTGTTCATACTCCTTGCGAACAGGCTTAGCTGATCTCATGGACACACACTGATTCTCCAGTTCAGATAATTAATCAGTTGTTCCGGCAGTAGATGCACCTGACCTACTATCAGCCCTAGAGCTACTAAATTCTAATCAAGGAGTCGACAAAATATTTGTTTGACCCCCAAGTTTCAGCACGGATTTTGTTAGAAACTCAACTAATTGTGGAAGTTATTTTCTAAATTAATCTCAGAATTCTCATTTGGATGCTTTAAGTTATGCTCGACTGCAGCAATCTCTTTACGCATTCATCATTTTTCTGCATAAACTGGCAGATGACCCATAACCAAACAAATAACATTCTCATTAGAGGCTGTTGTTTGTTGTAATCCCCAATGAGCACGCACACAATAAAAAAGCGTGAGTCTCAGCTTGTTCCACACATTTTGAACTTTGACCTTTAGGAAAGAGCGGGTTTGGACGGATGGTAAATGGACTTGTAGTTATAAAGCGCCTTCTCCACTCAAAGCGCTTTACACTACGTGTCATTCACCCGCTCACGTACACGCTGAATGCACCAGGGTTCAGAGCCTTGCCCGAGGATTTTTTGACATGTGGCCCATGGGAACGGGGAGTCGAACCACTGACCTTCCGATGAGTAAGCAACTCTTTCCTCCTGAGCCCCTTCTTAGATGAGAGGATTTGGTTTAGGGCTACTAGGAGCTATTTTTATTGGCAATGATAACCTTTAACTTGAGAGGTGTATGACGCCTGTGCAATATAGCGTGTTCATTACAGCCGTCCCCATGGTATAACATAGGCTCGGACTATTTTTAGGCCCCCTGTCAAAGGTTATATCACATGATATGATGAAGTGATATTGTGTTTTAGTCATCATGGTCACAAGAGCATCGTTGAGGAATGAATCTTGTAATCAAAATGGAATTATGGTTTGATATTGATGAAATCCACGTGCGCTAAACCCCCTGGCCGTACATATGGCTTCCATGCCGGAGATTTAAACCCCCACACATATCCCGTAAGAAGGTCGCTGCCCTTATTGAACTGAGCTACCACTCCTATGGAGGAGCTGTCCCCAACGGGCAACAAAACCGGGACGTTTTAAATGCATGTTAAATATTTGTTTGTTGCGATCCCTGAGTGGTTAATGCCAGTGATAAAAAACTTCTAATCATGCCACAAACATTTAATTATTTACTCACATGTGGCCTAAACCCTTTTTGTCTTGGGAATCACAGGGGTGATTTTGGATAAGATAGCCGGCTGCTTCTTCCTATTTAGCTACACATTTATCTAAATCAGCATTATCGTTGTGTCTAATGGAATTAACGGAAGTCAATGCAAAGGGTTTGGCTTGGTTAGAATAGTTTGAAAAAAAAGGGATAGCCATGGAAAAACGAACCAAAGCAAAACATGGGATTTTTTTTTCTTTCAGCAAATGCTGGAATCCAGTTCATTATCCAATGCCTGTGTATTCCCAGCAGGTTAAATGTATAAGCCTGCTGGTAATATATTAACTGTGCATGTATAAAATTAGTCTTTTATTGTAAATAACTGCCAAAGGAAGATGCTTGTTACCAGGAACAAGGTTTGTCGGTCTGAGTATGGAACAAGTCACTGAATGGATGACCAAGCCTTGCTCAGTTCACTCCAAAATGAACATAGCTTTTAAAATAAAGGGAGTGGAATCTTCAGTCCATTTCCTCTCACAATGGTGAAGATCTCCATCAACTGAGAATGTAGGAATCCCCTCATGAGGCACTGTGCTCTGTTTTGCATCAGGTTAACGGGCGTGACTTCTCCAAGGCTGACCATGAAGAGGCGGTGGTGGAGGCCATCAGGCGAGACCCCATCGTTGTCCAGGTTCTCAGGCGGACCCCCACCAGAGCCGCGGGGGCAGTCGCGCACAGCCACGGCGGCTCGCCGCAGGACGTGTGCGTGGTCGACGTGTGCACGCAAACAGACATCACCTTCGAGCACATCATGGCCCTCGCCAAGCTCCGGCCCGCGACCCCCCCGGTGCCGGACATTTGCCCCTTCCTGCTCTCCGACAGGTAAGGGCAATGACTCCCACAATCCAGCTATTTCCTGATGGGTATGGAAATGTGTTACAATGAGATGGAGTGGAAAAAGGCTTGCTCTACATGTTGTGAACCAGTCCTAGAAAACAGCTTTTTATTTTAGGCTGCAAATGAATGCTCCACCCCCAAGGTTTCTCCGCTCTTCTCTGCCATTTTATGGCATCCATTATCGGTTTTACCGTGGTGTGGAAACCCCAAGCAAAGCTAAGCACTGTGATATCATTATGCACAGCAAACTGGCATGCTATAATTGGTTCAGTGTGCTACATCCATTTTCTTTAATGGGGACTTTTGCTGGGTGATTAAAAGCCAATGGACTGACAGAGCAGGCGCCCTGATCCAGCATCCATTCTGTTGGTATTTATAGGGCTGTCCTAAGCAGCAAATGTAATCAGTTTGTCTCATAAAACCACAAGCCTGTCAGTCTTTCTCAGAGCTTATGGTGAGGTAGTCATAGTGACAATTCACAGAGGTCATGGATTTAATAAGGGGGATGGTTGACATGGCTAGTTCGAAGTTTCTTGCTAAATGAAGCAAAGATCACAATTGTGACATGGAAACATGGCTTAAAATAACCAGTGGAAATGGGTAATAGATTCATAAAAAATCTTATGGTAACTTCTTGTTTTCTCTGTAGCTGTCATTCTATCCACACCATGGAACACGAGTACTATGAATGTCCTGAGTACCTGTCCAACACCCCAGCAGAGGTGGAGAGGACAGAAGAGTATGAGTATGAGGTATGAGGTATCATTTCTCACATAAGATCTCACATCGTCATTGATAACCATTTGAATGTGTTGCATTAATTTAGCTTGGTCAGTGTCACAGTATTAGTTTTCTCTAACTCAATATCCCACTGAAATCCTAGAAAAGGGTTTTTTATTAGACAAGTGCATGGTCAAATATCTATTTGATTAACAAAACAAAGTGTGGGAGTTGTATGCGCTTCCATGCTCACACCTATGCCAATGTTTGTAGGATATCATCTTCTTCTCTTGTACTCTGTTCCTCGAATACATTTACCCTGATTTAGCACTTACTATCGAGGCTGAGGTCTGTTTCCACACAGAAGCTTGAGTGTTGTTACTCAGTTGTAAGCTGCTTTGGATAAAAGCATCTCCTAAACGTCTCAGTCTCAGTGTAAACTGGAAACAAACGATCAATTCTAATGTATTTGGGCGCCGCCTTGCCCATCCTCCTAGGGCATCGCATTTCACTAGTATCCACTCTGAGGAGAAATATCTAAGTGAGCAATTGTTGGTAACGGTATCTCCATTTTGGTGGCAGGTCCTGCCAGGTGACAGTGACATGTGGCATCCACTACTGTCGGTGTTCCTTTGGTTTAATGGGAGCTTCCTGGTTCAGTGAACTGTGCCGTGGATCATTAGGATCCCTCCGCTGCCAGCTGTGTCCTCACACCTTGCAGCATTGTATGTATGACGAGAAAAAACTCTCGAGGGTCGGGGGTGGGCTAGTTTGCGGTAATAGCAGTTGTATCAGAGCGAGGTCAGCAGTACAACACACACACGCCTCCACCCCCGCCTACCGCACGCCGTCACACTAAATCAGCTGTCTTCCTTTTCCCTGTCCATCCATATGTATCTAACTGAAACCAGAATGGCTTTCCTCTCGGATGAAAGCGAATGAGGCCGCCATTCCCGGGAACATTGCTCCTGACAACAGGTTTAGCTTCACTTCGAACTGATTGTCCACATGAGCATGCCCTGCTGTCATAATACTGCTCCTGCCAAGTCCGCCACACCGTGATATTACCTGGTTTGCTGCATACTTACTGCTTCTACATGCAGTATGAATGCTTTGATTAGCGGAGAAGAAAAATTGCCATTTTAATTCGCTGTCCTCAAAGTAAAAATTGCGTGCATGGAAATGTGTGTAAGAGAGCGCTCTCCTCTGCATTTGAATATCTATATCTCCCTCCCGGATAAAGTAAAGTTAAATAATGGCAGATTTTAATGAATACTACGTTTGATCCCCAGGTTGCACGGCAGTTAATGAAGTGGCAACAGTGTGGCAGTCAGCAGCCAGTTATCCGTTTGCCAAATGAGTCTCATTTTAATGGCTTGATTATGGATTGTCAGCAGGAGCCCAACTTCAAATGCCGGATTTTCTAAGTCTTCAAAACTGCAATCCAGAACAAATTTAAATCCAAACACGTGTTCAAAAATTATTTATATAGCTTTTTATTAACATGGGGGTAATTTGAGAGATTATTTTCTGTCTAATGAACCACGTCATGCTATTTTTTCACACCATCCTTTTAATGGAAAAAGGCTTTATGCTCGATGAAAACCTCTTTATTCATATTAGGGGTAACATTTTTTACTATAGTAAAATGAAGAGTGCAGACTGAACTAGATTTAAGATTGAAAACCAGTTAAACCCTCAAACATTTCATTTTAGAATCTGCTCAGGACATAATGTTGCATTAGACTGGATGAGCCCACCTGTGTGCTCACAGTTTCAGAGGATTTGCGAGTGTGTGATGAGGATAATTACACCTTTGTTGTGTAAGCCATAATTCATATATTTAGACAGTAAGTAGAGCTATGTGCTTCATCGTAAAAGACTCCTGTTCAAGGCATATTTTAATCTAAAATACCTTTAAATGTCATGTTTCTATTATGTTCATATTTGGATGGAGAAAAGCAGCATCCTGCTCTAAAGACAGACAAGCAACTGAAAGGAAATCATCACCTGTAATGAGGAAACAATGAACCGGCGAACATTACATTTGACAGTAATTACTTTGGAGTGAAACATGGGGTATCATTTAAATGCATGCCAGATGTAGTGTTTGTACCAGATGTTTAACACGCCCCGAAAAGACAGAATTCCACATACTATCAATATATCTGTTTTTCCTCATATGCATGCATAATGCAATGGGAAACATGTACCACTAAATAACCTTTACCTATCGTTAGTCAGCGGAAATGAGTTTGAAGTCACTGCTGTCAAACTAGTTCAACTCGGTAACAGCTAGGATCATGATCCAATCATCACTAATCAAGCCACAACCTGCAGTAATCTGCAGACACCTGGTGAACAGCCCAGCAGGCTCTGACATTACGCGGTGTAATCTCATCGCCCGCAGCTGTTACTTCACGTTCAGGGTTTGTACAAATCAGCCATTGTGCTAAACCGGTGAGGAGTTTGGGTACTAAAGAGCAGCATATGGTGTAATAACATCATAACCCCAGTGCACATCCCAACCTTTGAGGGTCAGGATTGTTTTCACAGGGCTGCATAAATTAATGTTATTGTCAGTCAAATTCTGCTATTCTGGTTTCCCATGACAGAGAAACAAGGGGGATGGGGGTTAATTCTTGGCCACCACCACCCCGAGTATAATCCTACCCCTCGTTCTTTTTTTTTTATCATCACAGTGGTGAAATGAATTTGGCCGTTCAAGGTTAATGGGAATTACCTCTGGAGTTTATCTGTATGTGATTACCTTAATACACCACAGAGATCAAAGTAAATTAGCTGTTGGTAGGGCTAAAACTGTTGAACATTTCGGGCAATGGGGGGCCACAGACATTAAAGGCCTGCCTTGTATCTTTTTGAATGGCAAGCCCGATTTGATAGTGACAGACTCTCCTTTGATCAAGTGTAGGTCATGTGATGGAGTTATGTACCTGTGATCCTCTGTTCTTTAAATACCAACTGAAAGAGTTCCTAGTATTACTGTACTGCATGTGTCATTACAGTTTTGAACGGGTTAAATCTCTATTGATTTTATTGATTTGTTGAAAGTATAACCCTCCATATCTCTGATTTTGACCCTTTGTGGATGGATTAATGGATGGATGGATGGATGGACAATTTTTCATTGTTTTTCTTTGTGAAACAGGAAGTGGAACTGTGTCGGCAGAACTGCCAGGAAAAGCTCGGTCTGACGCTGTGCTACCGCACCGATGATGAGGAGGACACCGGCATCTATGTCAGCCAGGTACAGAGAATCTCACATTTCACCCGATTCCTGCACCTGATAATTTCATTTCTGTTTTCGTTGAAATGTTCTTCTTAAAAAACCCACAGAGAAGCACATGCTAGCAGTCTGTTCATAAAGGCTTAATGATTAGTGTCGTTGCAGCAGGAAGTTTTTCCAAGATTGATGAAAGCATTCCCAGTTTTGCATATTAAAAAGGAGAAACAGTCTGAAATTAGGCAGGAAGGAAAGCAGAATGTTTTCCAATCAAATGTAAGAACTAAGAATGAGACACGCATGGCCAAGGAGGAAGTCGGGTTTGAAATGTGATTTCCTTCCTGTCATGCTCATTCTGTGTCCTTTAACATGCTCTAATGGGAGGTTTTAATTTGCTCTGAGCAACTGCCATCTCTTTGCCTACATAGTATGTTAAATGACACATTTTCCCATTAAGTGGAACCCATCCGATCACCAAACACACGAGGCAAGAAGGGAATAGGTTAAAATGTTGTTTTCTTTTTTGTTCAAATGATTCGAGGCTCAGGAAATAAGACTTCCTTTTGCAAAGTGATAACACCGAATGAAAACAAATTGAGCCACCCACGACAAACTCAAATGAATGGTGCAATTGTAAGGAATTCAAGCACCAACAACTAGATTAGAAGAATCATCAGTCTGACTGCAGGTGCAGTTTCAATCCCATTATAAACACAAAAGCAAGGCTGTGAAAAGTAAGAGCTACCATGAGGATTAGTTCAGGGGCGAAAGTATGAACAAAGAAGGAAACAAAGACGATGCCGAATATTTAGCAGCTTCAGGTTTTCACCTGTTCCTCTTAAAAAAACAAAAAAACATCACTTGCTAAATTATGAACGAGAAGCAGAAAAAGTCTCCCACCCACAGTGCACATTTGTTTTTATGTATATGCTGAAAGGATGAAAATGCTAATTTATCTCATTAAAACGCATGTGTGAATGTATGGATATTATTCTATTTTATATCATATTTCTTCTCTGTTTGGCTTTTCTTCTCCCACATGTAACCATGTCTCTTGATCTTCAAAGCCAGAAAAACAAAGTTTCTGAAAGGGTTGCCGGGTGTATGCGCAGATCTGCTGGGAAGCATGTTGAAAGAGAGGAGGTGTTGATTCACTCTGCAAAAATAGAAACATATCTGTGCCACAAAGACGTGCGAGTTTTTTGTTTTGGTTGTCATTTAGCCTGTGTCTCCCACTGTTGAAAGCATCTTCTCTTCATGAAAAAAAAAAACTGGCTTTTGTACAGCAGACATGAGGCTGTACTGAGTGTAGTGCGTCTCTGGTGTTTTTTTGGGGGGAAAATACAGACAAACACAATGGTTACAAGTCAGTGCTGATGTCTGTTCTCTTTTATGCAGGTGGAGCCAAACAGTATAGCAGCAAGAGACGGACGCATAAAAGAGGGCGATCGCATTCTGCAGGTGAAATTTCGTGAACCGTATTCACAGTCAGCAAGTTTGTCTTCGATGTGATTAGTCTTAATCATAACACTCTCAAATAACCAAGAGATCTATGCTTCTTTCCCTTTTCTTTGTGCTATAAATGCCTACAGAAGCTGCTTGTAAGGCAGACTTGTAAGAGAATATCCAAGATGCTGTTGTCTGGGCAAGACTATGTATATTTAATCACCTCGTTTTACCAAGGAAATTAAAGTCCTTGCAGTTAAACTAGGCACTATATCATCCCTGGGACCACTCTCTTTGTTGCATCTGTCTTTAAGCCCCTATGGGGGTCAGGGAAATGCTCTTTGTAAATCAAACTGAAGCTTCAAACTGTACTTTTTGTACAACGTCGTGGAAATCGAATTTATTTTTCATGTTTTCACAGGCCTTGTTTTAATTTCCCTTACATAGAACCGTGTCTAATTGTTTCATTAGCATTTGTTTTCCAACAATATAGAAAGGCCTGCGATCTTGACCCAAGGTCCCTCGTTAACGCTAAACAAGAAGCTGCCAGCTGTATCCAATTTTTCCCCCTCACCTCTTTGTGCACAGTCACACGCACATATATTTAAATGCATGCATCTTCCCTCTTCGTTCTGGTTCTCTGCAACGAGCTAACGACTTCATGGGAGACACCGTTGGGCCTTCTCCCTGATTGGCCGGCTCTGTTACCTGACAAAACCCATTTAAGCCTCGGGAGCCTCACAGTCTGTAAAGTGTAATCACGGCTTGCTAGTATGGCTTTTGAAGAGAGATTATTCCCAGTTGTAGATGATGAAAAATGTAGTGTGATATTCCTTCTGATCTCAGCCAAACGGCATCTTAAATAGCCTCGAATCTGGGCAACGCTGTCCCGGCGTACTTCTCTATATTTATTGTGTACCGCATTCTTAAGTGCCTCCATTCTCTCAATGTAGTGTTTGTTTCCTGGTTCTATGAATGATTAGTGGGGGGAGCAAGGCCTGCTGTACTCCTGGCCCTATTATCTTCCTCTGACAGCCCATTACTCTGCTGAGGAAAAGATGAACGCCACCTGTCAAAGAACAGTTAATTGTGTGTCTGGATGGTGTAGTGAGGGCAGGCTTTCACGATTGACTCCCCAAGCCGAGTGGTTTTGTGACCTGCACATGCTTCTCAGAGAGAGAGAGGATGTGTGGGGAAAGAAATGTTTGGAAAAAGAGACTAATGGAGGGAGGAAATGAGAGGTGAGGCGGAGGAAGAGAATCGGGATGTGAACTGAGGTGTGTTGTAGAATGAGACCAATAAGTTGCACCATAAAGCTGTCTTTTTAATAGATGATAACATTAGATCCACATGAAATTCTGGACATACGGACTGGAATACCAATTCTTTTTCCTGAACATGACAACCCATGTTTCTCTCTGATGCACAGATAAATGGCTGTGAAGTACAAGACCGGGAGAAAGCCGTTGCCCTGTTGTCAAGTGAAGAAGCAAGGAGCATCACGCTTCTGGTGACGAGGCCAGAAGTCCAGGTAAACATAGACAAACGCACTCCGACCCCACTCTCCCGCCCTGTCTTAACAACCCCTGTCATGTCAAAGAAGAACTCCCCACTAAGTGCCTTTCCTTTCAATTCTGTCCGTGTGATTGTTTGGGGGTCTGACATACACACATCTACGCATGAGGGCAAAACCTGAGAGGGAGCTTTCTGACAAGAACTTGTGATTTCAGCTGGAAGAAGAGGCTGGGTGGTTGGATGATGAGCAACAGGAGCTGGTGGAGGAGCTGAAGATGGAGATCCTGGAAGAGAGGAGGAAGCAGAGAGATCTTAGCTATGACAGGAAAGATGAGGTGAGGGGGATATGAAGTAACAAGCTGTCCCTAGTCTCGGTCTTCTCCACACAACAAAACCTTATAGAAAAAATACATTTTTTTTCTTATTATTGAATATGGTACCATGAACTTGACAATTGCAGTTTTTAAATCAGGATTTGGAGCTGTGCTTATTGGTGCTGTCATGGAACTGGTAATCATGTCAGATTTAAGGATGTTTTAATACATCTCAAAGAAACCTATCATACAATTGTTTAAGTAGTTTACATCTAAAGTGTGAGCCCTTGTGACTCAAATGGCATTGGTTAAACGTATCATTTTACTCTATACACCAGCCTCAAGTAGAAGAGGACTTGACAACAGACACAGCTACCTGTTCCTCAAACAATCAAGACAGCGGGTTTGGACGCAGTACAGACAGTCCGGAGCACCAGCCCCTGCTGGGCCGACTCCACCGGAGGAGCCCAGCCCGATGCCTGAGGGAGCGATGGCTGTCCGAGCATCCACACACCAAGAGAGGAGTGCAAATGGAAGCCCAGGGTACAAGATCCCTGGGTACAAGATCCCTGTCCACAAGCCAAGGGCACGAAGGGGTAGCGAACGTTCGGAATGGTTCGGGTGGAGTCCTGGGTTTGGAAAACTGCTTCCAACAACTCCTAGAGCTCAAGTGTCAAATACGAAACGGAGGCGAGTGCGGGGTCTACTCCATTCGACACAGTATAGAGTGCAGCCTCACCGAGCCAGGCAGAGGGGACGAGGAGGGTGAGGACGATGAGGGAGGAGGGGGAGGGGTGGAGCAGGAGTTGAGGATGCTAAATGAGGAACTGCGCAGCATCGAGTTGGAATGCCAGAGCATCATGCAAGCCCATCAGCTCCGCCAGTCCCATCCGCTGGAGCAGCCCACGCCCTGCTCACCGGGCAGGAGCCCCAAAGACGGACACAAGCGCCACGGCAGGCTGGCCGACATCCACGAGCACCCAGAGAGGTTTGACAGCGAGAAGATTCACGAGAAGGACAGTTCCAGCGCTTACAACACGGCAGACAGCGCCCGGTCCACGCCACTCGGCATGGAGAGATCCCCTGACCTCTCCCTGCAGAGACAGATCAGCATCACCAACCAGAAAAACCTCAGACTGGCCTCTTCGGTACCCTCCAATCCCATCGCTATCCCCAAGCCCCAAAGCACAGCTAAACGATGTAGACCTGTAGATCCAGGTCCGGTTATCTCAAGCAGCCCCGACCAGAGCAACCCTTCCCGGTCTGAGTCGGACCCATCTCTGCCAGCAGACGACGAAAGATGTGAGAAGAAGGGAAGGAGCAGAGATTCCAGGAGAGGGCTCCCTTATGGATCCTCATACCAGGCAGCCACGTACCATGGCCAGGGAGGCTCTAAACAACTACAGGTGTGTATCATCAAGAACGTGTGGGTCTCATGTCGATACGTCTGAATTGAGGAAACTGTGTGCTAACTTTGTCCTGTGTTGTAGAGCTACATGCAGCTGCTGCAGCAGCACTCGTCCCTGGAGTATTCTCAGAGCCAGCTGAGTCTCCTCAGCCTGTGTCGAGATCCCGTGCACCGGAACGGACGCTCCGGGGAGCCTCGTCTGGAGTGGAAGGTGAAAGTTCGCGCCGATGGGACGCGCTACGTGGCGCGCAGACCTGCTCGCGACCGCATACTGAGGGAGCGGGCGCTGAGGATCAGAGAAGAGAGGAGTGGGGGCATGACCACAGACGATGACACCATCAGTGAGATGAAGATGGGCCGCTACTGGAGTAAGGAGGAGAGGAAGCAGCACATGGCACGGGCCAGGGAGCAAAGAAAGAGGAGGGAGTTCATGCAGAAAAGTCGGCTTGAATGTCTGAGGGAGGGACAGACGAGTGCAGCGGAGGGCAGGAAGGAGGTCAACATCCTGGAGCTCAGTCACAAAAAGATGATGAAGAAACGAAACAAAAAGATCCTGGACAACTGGATGACTATCCAGGAGTTGATGAGCCACGGGGCCAGAGTCCCAGAGGGCTCCAAAGTACATAATGCCTTCCTTTCTGTCACCACTGTTTAACTGAGCTCTTCACAACCCGGGCCTGGGACCACTGCTTGGTTTTATAAACTGTTTATAAGATTGGACAAAATGTTGATGGTGAGGAGTTTCGTAGCAATTCAGAACTTTGTACTTTTTCAAGAATGTTTGGCCATCAGTACCAGCTGATGAGCCTTTGCAAACAATGGCGTTGTTGGTGTTGAACTGGCATCTTGTAGCAGTTTGGTTCAACAAATTCGTAAAGTGGAGGAACCAACACAGTAACTTTGTGTATACTTTCTATTGTGACTCCATACTCTTCATTCATCGGTTTCATATGAAGCGATTTCACTTGCCTCGTTCAAAGTGGCTTTTTTTTAAATGAGGAAATTATAGTATTTTTCACAGTTTGTAATCTCTGTAACTTTTTGTATGGAAATTTTTACACTGAATGTCGATGTACTTGAAGCTGTTTATTGCAGTTTATTTATATTCAAACCGTCAATGTTAAGGTGAGACTATTTGATTGTACTGTAGCCCAGACCAAGAGATGAATGATAACTCTACTAGGGACAACCTATGGACAGCTCTCTATATAAACACTTCATTTTTACTGTGTTAATATCGCACGAGTCAGAATTGTGTGGCAACTGTATAGCACTCAATTTAAAGCACTAAAAATGTTTGAATGCCATCTTAACGGCTCATTTGTTCTTGAGCTGGAGGGCTTTTTTTTAAACAGTCTTACCTCAACATGCAGTCAAAACTCTGCTCAAGATTTCAATACCAGCCTGATGGAATCAGTGACAACCTCCAACAATTATCTTTGAGTATAAATCTGTGATTTATTTGAAATATTTTAATCAGATTCTTATTTATATTGGTTACCGTCATTGATATTTATTGTAAATGATTTTTTATGGTCCGTCTGATCACCATTAAGCGGCTATCCTTGAGAAGTCAACACTTTTAATGGGACTGTAAAGGTGGATTTTTGTGCAGCCTTTCACATGGAAACTGCTGCTTTTTACTGTAAAGAGGCCTTGAGTTCAGTATTTGTTGATTGTGGTGTTTGTAATAAAACAACAATAAAGCCACAGAATTCTATTGTCTGTAGAGACTAATTTTTGCATTTTGACCACAAGTAATGTGATTGTATGTGTTTTTATTTTATATTGATTTAAGTTTGTGGCCATGTTAGCTAAACGGCTTCGAGGATAGCAATTTCAGAGGCTCTTATTTAAGACTATAAACCTTGTGCCTGCCAAACATTTAACTTGAAGCACCGTTGAGCTTAAGAGCTGAAAGCTAATTAGGACTTCTGTATTCAGTCTCATTCCTTAATACACACAGCTATTAAGTGTCTTGCTCAAGAAGTGGGCTCTTCAACAGTGGCTGATAACTTTGTGGTTTCTGAAAGAAAGTAACCCTCATTTTTAAGCATTTGTTTGTATTGAACTTATCGACCTCATCAGAAAAATAATATTTGCACAAACACGCTGACAAATCAAATCTGACATGATCTTTTTCAAAGCTACAAAAATGATGTGGTATTATCCATCCATTTTCGCAACCACTTATTCCCACTGTGCAGCCCCTTGTTGGTGAAGTATTATTTATTCTCATTTACATATATGTAGCATATAAATTTGTCTGTCTATTTTCATCAGAGGGTGTCAGTAGCTTTTGCTAATAGCTATAATTCAGCAAAAGAAGTAGTTCTGAGTGGTAAAAAATGTGTCAAATCTCTGGGATTATCACACTGTAAATTTGAAACATTGATGGTCAATCATAAACGTTTGTTGTTTGTGAGCTGTGACAGTACATGTTTTACATCAACACACCCTTTATGCAACGTTAACCCATCTCATTGAAAAAATATGATAAAGCTGTGACATGTGATGCAGTTGTACTCCCAGCTCAAGTTGTCCTTGGAGGTGTTCTTGTCAAACACTATAAAAAATATAATTACTAGCTAACTACGCAAATCAGAAAGAAACTGTACACTAATGCACACATAAATGCACATAAATACAAAGTATTCAGACGCTGGATGGATGGCACACGGGGATTTTAAGGTAATCATCTATTTATACCAGGATATAACTGATAGTGTTGCTTGGGTGCGTGCATAGAGGGGGTGCATGTCCATTCAGCAACTAGAAGCATCAAAGCCATGCTACACACTCATTTCAAAGTATTAAGGATACACCGGTGTAAACCAGTCTCCTCATCCCCTGTCAGTTTGCGGCTTCTGTCCACAGCCCACTGAACTGAGGAATTAATGAGACGCCTCAGACTGGCATCCCTATCGGCAGCTTTATGCATAATAAAATCAGGTAAGCACTGCTCCCGCTTCCCTGCAAGCCCACCAATCATCCCATATTACATCCAACATGTTATATCTGTGTGACAGGAAGTGTCACGGGAGCTGAGGAGTAATTTGTCGCTGTCATTTTAGAATTATAAATGATTAATCCCGATGTGGAAAGCAAAGATTATTGAATGTATTTGAGTGTTGTTCTGTTATACACCAGTGGTGTTGTGTACACAAGCACCAGGTATTTAAGAGGAGAGTATTTCAATGTTCTATCGAACAAAATTCCTTAAAAAAGTGTTGCCTTTATTTAAGTGTCATAATCAAGTAGTTGACACAGCAAATCCACAAACAAAGTCTTAACAGAGTCTTAAGAATGCATAATAAATCTAGAAATATACAAAGTAATGATGAGATACCTCATGTGGACATGGATTCCCACTTCCCCCAAAGTTACTACAGAATGTAGCACTTTGCTGTCACTCACAGTTTCCAATAAACATCATATTTAACTGTTTTTATACCTGCTGTACATAAACATACATAAAACATTGTAACTTTACTGAGAGGAAAACACACCACCACCATGCACCAGCAGAACTTTTGCAAGAAAAGCTCATCCCGAAAAGTGTTTGCCGTGTCAGATGTTAGGGCTGAGAAAAACACATCAGACACGTTTCAGCTGAAAGGATGAGAAAATAAAAAAATAAAAAATAAAGCTCCCTCATGGGGGAAAAGAGGCCACACATTGATCCGGGGAAGGTAGTGGAGGGGAAGCAGGAAAAACTGAAAGAGACCAGCGAGGCCTTTCATGTGGCGATAAAGATTGTAGCTGCTTCCTGAGAATGGAAGATCCACTGGAGGTTCAACGGGACCTGAAACTGTGCAGCAAAAAGTGACGAATCTGACTGAAGAATCACATCACTGGATCAAAGGCAAATGCTTAATGCTGAACAGTTTTTTAACGGAAATGTAGAGTAACATTTTCCTAGGATATTTCACCATGAGGCCACACATGTTCTCTGTATTTGAGCTATACATTCATGGCCTTTGGATGAGTACAGCTTAAGAATGCCATCTAAGTCACAGGATTTGTATCTTTAAATATACCAGATCTTTGGTGTATCACATATTCTAATATTCTAAAGAAATTGTTAAAAAAAGAATCCTCTCCAGAGCCCAGACTTCAACATTACTGAAGCAGTGTGGGATCATGTGACAGAGAATGGAACAAAAGGCAGCTGACATACAAAGAAAAAGCATTGGGATGTCCTTTAAGCTGTTCCTGAAATCTACCTAAATAAATGACAGAAGGTTGTCTAAGAGGGTTCAGGCAGTGTTTCAGTTATAGGAAGGACGTCGTGTTCTAGCCTGAAAGCGTCTGGCTTTTAAAACCCCATTTCTTTCGGCAGGGCACCGCTCAACTTAAGTCAGGCTTCCTCTCTTTTCTTTTCCCTCACAGTTCTCTTGACTGTTGGGGTTGCTTTGACTCAGGTAAACACTCATGCGGCTTCTTCTTTGCACTTAAAAACAGCGACTCACGAAATTTCAAGTGAGGCTGTGGAGCATTGCACAGCAGAAGCACCAAAGTCCTCTGCCAGGTTTTCATTTGCTCCTCTGGGCTGTTGTGTGACATGATGGATTAGTAAAAGAATGAATCATTCCTATGGCAGGGTGTGTAGAAAAGTAAAGTATGGACTGGAGCTATCGCAGCGTCTTAGGTGGTCAAACTGAGGCTTTTCTTTCTCTTTTTGTGCACCTTGTCTTTTGTAGAAGACCCCCTGTGCTAATATACCGAAAACTTTTGTATGTAAAGATTTTTGTTATCAGAAATTGACATTAAAATATCTGTTTTCAAACTTAAAATCTTAGGTTTTGGTCAAATTAACAATAAATAGCTTGAATTGCAAAATAGGTGGAATCACAGCTATTTGGGAATGCACACAACATTTGCACACAATCTATTAACCAAGATGGTCCCAGTTATGACCTACATCAGAAACATTCCAGAACAAGAAGTTAAATAAGATATTAGCCAAAATACATTTTTGAATGGTTTACCAAATGTGCCATAACGAACAGTTTTTTTTTGTTGTTTTAAAATTCCCAATCTTAATTTGACACACAAAAATCAGCATATATAATGTGCTGATTCCACCTTCCTCTCATCTAAATCTCATTCAAATTCCAACAGCTGAAGTGTTGCAGCAGCGCGGCGCAGATGAAAAAGCACCGTTTCTCAGCTCGCTTTAATCTGACGCTGCTTTTGAAGCAGCCCCCAGTAAAACGAGAACAAAGTCAGGTGTTCTTTGCACAGACGCCAGTTTCTACGCTGACGGGAAAAGGGTGACACATTCTGAATGTGCCGGGCTGGAGATTGTGCGTCCTTGAGTCTTATTATACGGTGTGCAACTAAACAAATGAAGAAGAAAAAGCCTGAGGCGCCTCAATTTAAGATACATTATACGAGAAAAACAAGCATCTTTATCTTTTGTTTGTTTGATGTTTTATTGTAAGGCCAAAGAAGAATAAACAGGTTAATTATCGAAAAACTTAACGTGTGTTTTCTTGGGTGTGTGTGTGATTTCCATAGAGCCTGATGTGAGATAGCAATATTCCTGTACCGCTAACATTCAATACATGGGGAAACATCATTATCACTGTTAGATTAATTAGCTTGTTGTTTCATTAACGAATCCAGCCTAAAGCTTAACGCCACTGTGTGCTAATCGCAGAAAAATCTCGATAAGTGATGAACGTTTTTTCAGGTATATAAATATACTGTGAAATGAAGATGTAAATATAATAAATCAGAGTGGTTTTTCACGCCGACAACAGCAAAGCCTATCAGACATGTTCACATCCACCTCAACCGACAAATGTGTCTTAGCATGGGCTAAATGACTGATTGGGAAAGGATAATGGCTGATCCTTTTCCATTCATTAAACATCTATTCACGGCTCCAATTACGCACCAATGGCTCATTCAGACATCTGATGAATAAGATGGATATTTTTTTGTTTGTGTTTTCTCCATGAAGGACAGCTAAATGTTCTGAGGGAGTTCAGCTTTGTCGAGGCTCTCCCTCGCATTATCTTGCTCATTTCTAACGACCACGGACCATGAAGCAGTGGGAGACGTCTGTGCTTTCATTCATGTGATGTGTTTGATTGCCTCATGGCAGTATCTTTCCAAAGCACAGTGGATTACAAAGACCAGAGGAAGATCAGTATGAGACAAGCTTGTTTACCACTAACAGTTCTATGTAATAAGGTTAACAATGTTGCATTGGTTATACAATGAAGGTCTTTGTGTGGTTTCATCGGACCAGCCAAGGAAGCTTTATTGTGCCACCAGTGTGCGTTTTAAATGCCTAAATTCACAGACTACGAAGTGCTAAGAGCTTTCAAATCAAAACTCCTGCAGAGCTGTAGGACGCTCAGTAAAGGTGCTTCAACTTGTTTTTAATGAGAGGTATGAAATATTCAGAAGCCCAGCCCCAGCGCACCAGTAACACTTGAGATAATTGGAACAGAATATATAGAAAGGGCAGGGTGATGGGAAACAAAAAGACTGTAACTGCTCTTCCAGGGGATGGTGCCGGGAGATCTTATATGAAGAAAAGCCTCTTGGTGTGGCACAGTTTCAACATTTACTCTCAGTTACTATCATTTCAACTGAGTTGTAATGGCTAAAATGCTTTTTAAATTCCATGAATCTTATAGAATTCAATGCAGAGATAGAAGAAAAATAAATTACCCCTCTGAAACATTTTTAATGTGCTTTTTTTGTAA